GCATGAGAGATGGTAACATCCCTCACACGAAGAACAACTAACTGTCCTCTTCCTGTTGTTAACAGTCGAGCAACTCAGGCACCCGCGTCCTCTCCCCTCCATCCCTCGGCCGTTTCCATAAGGTTAGGCGAAGACCAAGACGGAACGGCTGCTGTGGCTACAATCAAAATTACGCTTATGCTAGATCGAATACTACGTGCAGCCAGTCAAGCAAGTGGCACGCCGCAAAAGAATAACGAGCACACTCAGTAGAAAGACGTGTCAATAATAAAATCGCCGCGTCAGCAAAAACGAGACGAGAGAATGGGAGCAACGCACGTGCAAGGCAACAGAGCAAACAACAAGCAATCGAGGAGCTCTTAGGCACCACACAACCTGCCCTCGTGGATGCTCAGTTAACACTCCTAATACTAATTGTAGATATGAGCACAAGCCATGAGCTGATCACAACAAAGCTACCAAAATGGTGGCCAGGCAGTTTTTGCTTCAGCAAGTGAGAGGCATTTAGTTTCAAGTCCTGCCCAGCTGGTAGCTTAATTTCATTGGCTTGACTTTAGAAAGCAACAAAAACCTTGAATTTTGACAAAACAATCTTGTTTTTCAAGAAATTTCTATTGTCTACTTGCTTACCTGGGATTTGCAAAGGGTGTCACTTTGAGCTAAAAATAAACTTTTATATTGTATTGGGACATTAAAATAAGATAGTTCAAAATCAACCTAGCAGTTCTTAGAGCATGCTCTCTAAATTTCAGAGCTCTGTTGATAGCCACACAGTGATGGTAGAAGTCGCAAAAAAGAAGATTTTCAAGTCCAATGCCTGTGCCGCATGCAGATGGCAATGGCAGTACGTTCAGTAAGAGCTATGATGGTGCAGTGGTGAGAGACTCATTCTCTTGCAACCAGCATCCAGGTTCAAGTCTCACTGAGGACAAGTTCTTCTGGGAAGCTCAGCTCATGGTCAACTCAGCCACTCATCCAAATCTGGTTGATAAATGAGTACCTGGCTTATCCAGGGTGTTGCACAATGCAAAAATGATTCTGACGGGTCAGCAAACCAGTGATGGTCGTGGAACTACCAGTGGCATTAGTGCCTGGTAAAACTGACCTATCACCTCCCTCCCTTACCTAGTTGCCACTACCTTGATGGGCAATTACAATAACAGTGGTGCAGTAGTGATTCAGATCAGCGATCATGTGGATGTAACAATGACTTTCTGTTTTGAGTTTATAGCATGTAATTGACTGACCAGGATGATTTTACTGTTACAAAGACATCCCTACATGAAATGTTTACTTGCACATACCCCATGATCTACTTACTTGTGAAACTTGTCAAGTGCTAGTCAGCCTAGGTCATAGGCTACTACTATGCAGTTTGTACTAAAAAAAACTTTTATATCTTATTGGGCCACTCCTAAAATATGATCAGAAATCAAGCTAACAGTTCTTTGAGCATGCTCTCTAAATTTCAGAGCTCTGTCGATAGTCACATAGTGAGGCTGGAAGTCACAAAAAGACAAGTCCAGCACTCGTGTGACTGGCAGCTGCAGTGGCATTCGGTGATGTGGTAATAGTAGTACCAATGTTATTAATTTATTAATATTAATTTATTATTGTTCATAATTTATTATTTATTTATCATACATAAAAGTTGCACAGGTGTTGGCTTAAAAATGTGATTGATGGAATTAGCATATCTTCTTTCCAAAAAAATGGCAGTCATTTCCGCATGACGGGGTAATAAGAGACACTCCCCCCCAGGGTAATAAGGGACACCCCTAAAAAGGCATTTACAGTAGAGCCTTGGTTAGCAAGAGCTCCAGGTAACAAAAAATCAATTAACAACAATAATTTTAATTAGATTTACCTTGCTCAGTGAACAAATTTCACTTGACAAAAAATAAGTGCATCATTGTTCATTGCCAAACTGTGCATAGAATGTCATAGATAGAATTGTTCACTGGGCAACATAGAATGAAAGGTAATTAACCTAAGCTATGATTTTTTCTCAAAAAATATGATGGTTGTCACTAAAATATTCCTTTGTGTTTCAGGTGTGTTTTCTACAATCTTTTATGTTATAATGAATTCACTTGACTTGATTAAAATGGTGCAAAATTACATGCCGCCCTGTGAGCTTACCTACAGAAGAAATGCTACATGGCTGCTGATATGAAGCTTGCAATGGACAAGGTTGTTGTCAATGCTCAATGGCATGTCCATGGATACAGTGATATCACATCAATAATACGGTAATGCATGGATAAGGTAATACCACATCAATAAAGGAAAAACAAGTAAAAATCACAGAAAATGTCATTTATTCTACATATACATTATCTACAAAGGAAGAGAAGGACTTCAGAGTACTGTTAGTCATGGATGAGCACACTCTGCATGCTTCCAATGTTATAAAATTGAGTTTTATTTCAAGTGTCCCTTATTACCCCGTTCCCAGGGTTGGTTCAGGAGGCTTTTATTTTGCGACTGACATCTTACTAATAGCATATGGAATTTTTTCAGAGATGCCATACGATAACCCTTGCAAATACCTTTAAAATGAGCCCAAACTCATTTATGAAATGTTTCATGTTAAGAAGTTATTAAGGAAAAATGCTCAAAACAGTCCCTTATTACCCTGTTTGATGGTATATAATTTACTTATCATTTATTTATCAATCACTTACCATATATTTATTATTTATCTATTATTTATTTATCATCTATTCATCATTTATAAGTCCAATGGTGCCAAAACCATGAAACTGGAATTTATTCTGTTTAATTCTGCCTTTTGATGAATTTATACCATTCATATCTATAGAAACACCCGTTTTCCCCATCCACCCAATTTCACAGCCTCAACCAAAATTTTTTATTCAAGTTAGAATAGATGATAGCCTCACAAGAAGAGTTTACTAATGGTGCTAAAATCTTCAAAATTGGCTTTTAGGAAACCAGGAACTTAAAGTTTTTCTAAAAAAATGAATAGAGGCATAAAAAATGACTAAAAGTAATTGAATAAAGGAAACATTTATAGCCTTTTTCATTTTATTTGGACTCCGCTTAAATTTATATGGTATTTTTCTAATGTTTCTTTTCAGATGTGTGATTTTCATTGTGATCAATGGAAATTTTTTTACATACCCAACCTAACAGTTATTTTAACCAGTAATTTTAGGAAACTTTTGCCTGATATTTTAAATAGGCATCAAAATATTATATATTTTATTTAAGCAGTAAAGGCAATGCATAATAAATATACCAGGGGGGCAACGGGCAGGATGCATCAAAATCTGACAAAATGTACTAAATGTACCAAAATCAGAAAAATATGATAAAATTTGATAAATTGGAATGAATAAAATGAATTTTAGGAGAATTAATCAATTCCATGGTAATATTATTATTAATAGTGGTACAACAACAAATTCATTCTGAATTTGTTGTTGTACCACTTAACCATTCTACAGGCCTACAGCTCAATTCTATCACAACTCACAATTATTAAAATTAGTACCTACCTCTTGGCTCTGTCAGACTGTCAGCATTCTGCATTGTCATTGTGGCAAATAAATTTTTCAGACTCATTTCATTTTTAATTTCTTCATATAGTCAAGATTTGAGCCAATGTCTTGTCACTCATATCTCTTATGTATGATGAGGATGGTTACAATCATACGATGGTATGGGCAAAGGTATCCATTAGACTCCTGTGTTTGGTATTTTTTTCCCTGAAACAAGACAGATGAGACAGCAAAGCCAGGACAATTTTCAGCCCTGCATAGGAATTCCGGGCCAATACCAAGACAAGACAAGACATCCCAGTTAAATAGGTAACATAAAATTTCCCAGAATTTATAGCCATTTTAACCCATTAATGACGAGAATTATTTACTGAATTTTTTTTGGGTTCCTTGAGAGAATATTATCATTTGTGATGGTATTAAATAAAAAATATGTTCATATATTACTTTTTTGTTGTATGTGAAAAATTATAGCTTGGTTCCATATGGAACCGCTTGGCATTAACATGTTTCTTCAAACAACACTTTTTTCGATAGTAAATCAAGCAAGGTTATTCATAATAGATAATACGTAATATACATACGTATTCATAATGGACAATACTGATGATAAACCAATCATGGCAGAATACAATTTAACTAATAGCATAGAATGCTTCCATTCATTCAAAATGAATTGGAAGGTTTCCCATTCTACGAATGTTTGTGGGTGCGCTATCAACATTGTTTATGAAGCACTGCATTTGCAGTGCTTCTGATGTCTCTTTGCTGGCCAATGTTGTTGATTGTTGTATTGAACTTCATCAAGGATCAAAGTAGTAGGGTGCACTATAGACCCTGATTGTTTTATTTAGGGTCTCCTGCATTATTGCATTTCCTAACCTATTTTTTTGAAAATTTATTGCAATAGCCATTCTTTTTTTCAAAACATGAAACATTCAAACCATTTTCAAACATTCAAATGAAACCAGAATAGATATCACATATAATATGTTGGCTTGGGACCAATTGTATCATGTTTTTGGGACCAATCCATGTTCCAGCCCATGAATAAGTTTCTTCTATTAGATCCGCTGATTGGCTTCAATTGCAGAAAAATATCATCTGATTTATCAGCTGCCCAAAGTTTATAACTAAATCTCATGGGCTAGCCACGTATATGTTGTAGTATAATGTGGCCATGTCAACCACAGTTGACTTTCTTCTCTGTTGATAGTCATTGTTTTCACATTTGGTGCTTACTGTTGCTACAATGACTATTCTTGATTGGCGAGCAGAATTGCTAGTGGCTGAGTCATCTGAGTTATCTGAATCTCAGTATGTTTTGTTTGTTGCTGCTTCTGTGAAAGGTTCAGTAGCAAATATTTGATATTTGTGTTATTCTTCTCTTGAAATCTCAATTATTTCATATGATGATCTGCCAAAAATACAATTAGAAAAAAAGTGACTCGGGATGATATATTCCTAATATATATTTGGGATATATATTCCTAACATAATCTAAAGATATAAAGATATAATCTAAAAATAATAGTTCACTAATAAATAACAGAAAAACTGTAGATCTAAGATCTAAATAAATAATTTCCAAGTACAAACAAGTTTTTGAAATACAATGCGTAACTACCATCAAATGGTGCTTCTCGGGACGATTTCGAAAGTTTTTCATTCATAACTTCCTACCATGAAACATTTCATAAACAAGTTTAGGCTCATTTCAAAGCTCTTTGCAAGGGCTATTGCATGGCTTCTCCAAAAAAATTCCATATGCTATTCGTAAGGTGCCAGAAGCAAAAAAAGTGTCCCGAGTAGCCCCGTCTAACAAAAAAAAGAATTCTCTGGTCTTCAATGAACTATGTATGTATCTATCTATGTATGTATCATAATGTATGTATTTATCTACTTGCAAGGAAGAGAAGACAGTACAATATAGCACGGTCAAGCATCTCTCACGCATCGCGATGTAATGTAAACAATCTGACCATGAGTCTGAGATCCAAGGTTGCACAGCAACGCTAGTAAACACTAAGTAGAGTAAACTTGTACAATTATGCTAGAAAATGTGTTGGTAAAGCATTTAAAGTGAAACAATAAATGAAATAAGGTCGCTGAAGATTTTTTATTTTTTTACACTGTTACCAGTGGTGTTTCGGTGTACTCTCTTCTGCTCTGCCTTGCTGAAGATTGGAGAAAATCGTTGCCAAAGGTTATAGAAGGTTGCCATATGTGTTGATCACTTGGAGCTGTCCCCTGGTCAGCTGGATGCCACATCCTGCAGGCTGAGGCAGCTCATTGTGTTTCTTTCTTTCGTTTTTCTTCCATTCTGCTTCTGCGGAAAACGTCGCCTCACAGAAACCATCATTGGCAGCATCGCCGAAGCTTCTGGAAGGTAGGCTGCATCGCTGAAGCTTCGGTAAGATTGGCAAATGGCGTCGGCAAGATTTTCGGAGAAGTAAATTTGTCTGCTAATTTGTCCCCAAAGATCTTTCAAATATTTATCACTCTCTGCACCCTGGTTCATGAGGCACAGTTGAATATGCACCATGATGAAGATGCAAACTTTGAGGGGTTCCTGCCCTTATTAGGTTCATTAGGTTCCAACAATGAGAGTGATGCTGACTCAGTCCTCACAGCTGGTCAGAGGGAACACTCCTCTTGTTGCCCAGACCTACCTGAGCTGGAGGACTCTCCATGTGTGAATGCCAATGCAAATCCTCTGGTCATTGTAGTAGAGCCTCTTTCAGATGAGTGACCTGTGTCAAAATTCTTTGCTAATGATATAGCTCTTAGCAAAGCTTTAGCCACCTCAAGTTTAGGTACAGTTGGTCTCCCTCTCAATCACACAGTGTCAACAGGCCTAATAGGCCCTTTGTGTGATGAGACTTCAGATGAAGATCTAACCAAAGCACGATTAGGAGCAGGGGTAGTGATAAATTGTCTCAGTGGTCCCCTGTAAACACCAAGACTTTTTAGTTTAAAGAATTGTTGCTTGGCCTGGACTGTGACAGTGATCTTGGATGGTAATTAGGATTATATCGAGGGCATGATGGTGGTCAAGCGGCAAAGATGGTGGTCTTTGCCGCATATCAGGCATAATTTTGATGCTTTCCAACAATCCTTCAGCAAATGATTAGGATTCTGACAGTAATGGCAACACTTGTCTGATGTGCCAAAGTTATGCGGTCGTGGTCTATTGAATAATTGACATTGACCAGATGATTGAACGTTGTTAGGCTGTGACTTGAAGCATTGAGAACTTGAGGGTGTCTGGTTGTTTGGTCTTGGATGATTCCTGCCTCAGGGTCTAGCATTAGGAGTTAAACCTTTGAGGTCTGAATTCTCTAGATTGTACAGGCTGATACTGAGTTGGGAAGCTACTAGGTTTGATTTGGAGATTAGACTGCTGATGCGAGGTATACAATGCCATTCTTAGCTGTGGGAGTTCTTGTTGTAGTTCATAAGCTTCTTCTATTAAAGTGGAAAATGGGAAATGTTTCTGTCTTCTTCCTGTAACAGCTCTTAAGGGGAGCGTCTACCCCAAAAATTATCTCGGCTATTTACAAACGTATCACTCTGAAACTTGGTACACATATGTAAAATGGAAAAAAACTCACATTTTGTACATGTGAATTTTTCAAAAAAAAATATGAAAGAAAACGTGAAATTCATAGAAAACGGTCAAAAAAGGGGGTACTTTTGAAATCTATCTCCTCCTAGGATTTTCAAGCTATGACATCGAGACATATCATTCGATGCGTAAAATCTTAATCTATAAAACGACCTAGCCGTTTTTTTTTAATTTCTATTTTTTGCGGGTGTGGGAGCATTTTTCGTAAAGATTTTGGAAATTTTTCGATTTTACCCCTTTCCACCCCCCCTTTTTCAGGAATAAAATCCAAACTATGACGAAATTGAAAAAACGGCTAGGTCGTTTTGTAGATCTATTCTTTGCAAATCGAATGGTATATGTCTCATTGTTGTAGCTTCAAAACTCTAGGATGAGATAGGTTTTCCATGACAATAAGTGTGAATGTTGAGGAGAGCGTGACAAAGTCCCGCGCGCACCACAATATGCACTCAATGTAGCATAGATACCAAACTAAACGTTTCTGGAGCTTGATTCCACTCAAGGATGATGGGAGCAACTACATGCGCATCTCTCCCTACAAAGCCCGGAGGCACACTGAGTCAGACCTCACAAAAACACTATATTTGTAGTGGTGGACAGCAAATTATCTCATATCTAATTACTGAAAGAACTGCCCCCCCCTTTCATGAAGTGTCGTGTACGTAAAAATCGACGTACAGAGATGGTAGTGGTACCATTGGATAGGCCAGAATGTCAGCTTTAAGATGAGACTAAACACGTAACTGCAGCACAACTCAAGTAGACACTATATATAAAGAGCTCACCAGCTAATTAGTTCCTATCTAATTACTTAAAGAACTCCCCCACCCACCCCCTTTCATGAAATGTCGTGAAATCATAAATCAACGTAGAGAGATGGCAGTGGTACCATTGGATAGGACAGAATGTCAGCTTTAAAATTAGTATGAAAACCGAAAAAGTAAAAATTTTCAATTTTAGGGTAGACGCTCCCCTTAAAGATCTCTCAGAGTCTACCAACTTGGATCGAATGGCTGGCGCAATAGAGTTGATAAATTGTTGCCTTAGTTGAGATGCACATTCTTTTTTGTCAGTAGGAAATGCCAATTCTGCCATGCTTACAAGTCTCATATCATATTACAAGTACCTAGTCAATATCATAACTTTTGCCAACTTCCGGAGTGGCTGCCAATAATTGCTTTCTCCAATAGGACTTTCCTCCAACTCATTTCCTCTTGTAGTAATCTAGCAGTTGTTTTTTCATGTCATTATATTTCAACCTCTTCTCACTCCTTATTTTGTATACTTTCAGCAGATCTCCTTCAAGAAATTCTTCAAGTTTTTGTGTTTTGATGTACTCATCTCCTTTGAACTTGTTCATAAAATATACTTCATATGCATTAAAGAAGTCTTTTAGT